ATGAAAGGCTATGGAACACCCATAAAGACATGGGAGTGCCAACACATCCTGATGGGGAATCTGTACTTAGGACAAGAGACTACTGTCATAACAGAACACAGAGAAACAGAATGGTTCCCAACTGGCAAAGGGGTTAGACAAGGTTGCATCTTATCACCCTACATATTCAACTTATATGCAGAAAATATTGTAAGAAATTGGACACAGAAGAGGGAGAAGTGAAAATAGGAGGAAAGAATATCAACAATCTGAGATATGCTGACAACACCATAATATTAACAGAAAATCTCACAGACCTGGAATAACTATTAAGAAAGTTCAAGGGGAAAAATGCAAAGGCAAGCTTACTGTTGTACCTAAAGAAAACAAAAATAATGACCAAGCAGAACTACATAAATTCATCCTAGAAAATGAGAAAATAGAAATAGTAAAAGAATTCTCATACCTGGGATCAAACATTGATAGAAACAGGGACTGCAGAGAGGAAATCAGAAGAAGATTAAGAATGGGGAGGGCAGCTATGAAAGAACTAAAAAGATCCTAAAATGCAAAAATATAAAACTGAGCTCAAACATTAGAATCATAGCCATTGTATTCCCTGGTACCATGTATGGATGTGAGAGTTGGACAGTTAAGAAAGAAAATAGGAAGAAAATCAATTCATTTGAGATGTGGTGCTGGAGAAGAGTGCTAATGATTCTGTGGACAACCAAGGAGACAAACAGAGAAGATCAAGACAGAAATCTCCCTGGGAGCCAAGATGAAAAAAGTGAAGCTGTCATATTTCAGACACACTATGAGAAGGGACGACTCATTGGAAAAAACAGTAATGCTAGGAAAGGTGGAGGGAAGCAGAAAGAGGGGAAGGTCACATGCTAGATGTATGGACTCTGTTTAGGAGGTCATAGGTATGAGTTTGCAGGAACAAAGTAGAGCAGTGAAGGTCAGGGAGTCTTAGAGATATGTCATAGAATCATAGAATTTTATAGAATTATAGAGTTGGAAGAGACCACAGGGTCTCATCCACAGGGTCACTATGAGTTGAGATTGACTCAAGGGTGGTTAACAACAATAACAAAAATAGATGTACCGTATTTTCCGGCGTATAAGACGACCCGGTGTATAAGACAACCCCCCATTTTTCCAGTCAAAATATAGAGTTTTAGCACCTCTATCCTCCTTATCCTTATACCCGGCATATAAGACGACCCCCCCCCCACTTTAACAATGGATTTCGCAGGTTAAAAAGTAGTCTTATACGCAGGAAAATAAGGTACCCCTTATTTAAGTATTCTTAAGTACCCAATCTAGGATGTTGTCTTAAATGTTTATTCTTTATACAGTAAATCTTTATTAGTTTTATTTTCTACATCTCTGTCTGAATGTTTCCATTTAAGAATTAATAAGGAGGATTCAGTCACACATTACTATACTGAACCCAATGATCAGTACATCCCACTTTCCCAAGTGCCGTATTCAAGGAGGGATTCTAAGGGGCAAAGGGCAAGGTGAGTGACAGAAGCCCATGGGTTGAAACTGCAGGACCAAACTGGGTGGAATAGGGTTAGGCTGTCCTTTAGGCAATCTTACAAACAATTATTTGCCCATGCTATCTAGGATTGTAAAAATTAAAACTTGGAAGCATTTTGAATTAAGGCCCAGAAACGGAGCAAAATCCGATGCACATTGCAAATCAATGGTAAAATATGATTGTGTTAACCAGTTAAAAGGTCACTCTCCTTTTGCAACCAGAGCAAAAAGGTTCTGAAAATCAGGGACTTGGTCCTTTTACAGCATCTCAGGAAAGTTGTTTGTCTTGCTATACACTATTTGGTAGGCCCTTCTCAGGCACTGACTTAGCATGCACCTTATCATTACATGAGGTTCTGCAGCAATGCCTTCTGGATATTCAGTGATACTTGTAGCTGAATCTGTCAGTCATCTGGGGAGGTAGAAGGGGGAGAGGATTCAGTGCCCAGGCTGTCTTGCTCATCAGTGAATAATAAGATCCCCAGCTGCACTGAAAATGCCTCCTGAATAAACATGGCTAGGAAGACAGCTTGTGGGTTCGATAGTGATTTTAATCACGGAATGCCACCATTTCCTTTTCAGTGACACTATTCAAGAAGAGCTTTCCAGAATTATTGGGATGACTTTGTCAGCCAAATAGCACACAGGAAACTAGATGTTGGCTTCCTCCTCCCTCTCACCCACCCACCCCCACCTCCGCC